CTGTCACCCTGGCTAGGGTGCAGTGGCACAATCACAGCACACTGTAGCCTCTACCTCCTAGGCTCTAGAGTAGCTAGGACTACAGGAGTATGCCAGCATGCCTGGCTAATTTTTTTTATTTTCTGTAAAGTCAGGGTCTCACTATGTTTCTCAGGCTGGTCTCAATCTCCTAGGCTCAAGCATCCTCCTACCCTAGCCTCCCAAAATGCTGGGACGACAGGTGTGTGTGAACCACTGCGCCCTGGCCCTTGCCAGACTCTAAAGGCCATACTCAGTCATCACTTTGCCTCACAAATAGCCAAACCAGTAAACAGCACGTCTACCCCTAATCTGTCCAGTGTAGAAACAGGTCTAAGGTGGCTCTGCAAGTACTGCCTAAGCAGGGCCAGCCTGCCTCCTGAATGGTTAATCTGAGCATAGCTGCTGCTCAAACCAGGACTCCTACCCTCCCATAGGCCCTGCAATTAATACAGAATAAGACTTAAGTTAGGACATCCCCTTAGGATACTGGGGATAGTCTATGGTAATAAAGTTAACAAAATACAAAATAGACGCAACTAGATTGAAGAATAAATATTTGGAAAACCCAGCTGGGCACAGTGGCTCACGCCTGTAATCCCAGCACTTTGGGAGGCTAAGGCAGGCGGATCACGAGGTCAAGAAATTGAGACCATCCTGGCTAACACGGGGAAACCCTGTCTCCACTAAAAAATAGAAAAAATTAGGCAGGCGTGGTGGTGGACACCTGTAGTCCCAGCTACTCAGGAGGCTGAGGCAGGAGAATGGTGTGAACCCAGAAGGCGGAGCTTGCAGTGAGCTGAGATCGTGCCACTGCACTCTAGCCTGGGTGACAGAGCAAGACTCCGTCTCAAAAAAAAAAAAAAAAAAAAAAAAAAAAAAGAGACAGCGTCTGTCATCCAGGCTAGAGTGCAGTGGTACAATCTAGGCTGACTGAAGCCTCGACCTCCTAGGCTCAAGTGATCCTCCCACCTCAGTCTCCTGAGTAGTTGGGACTACAGACATGTACCACTATACCCAATTTTAAAATTTTTTGTAGAGAGAGGGTCTCGTTATGTTGCCCAGGCTGGTCTTGAACTCCTGGGTTCAACGGATTCTCCTGCCTCAGCCTGCCAGAGTGCTGGGATTACAGGCATGAGCCACCGCACCTGGACTCACTATAATTATTTAAAAGATATAGTGCACTATGGACAAAGCAGAGGGAAGGAGGGACTGACATTCAGACCAGCTATGTGCAAGGAAGGCATCATGCACATGCAACATGCAGTCCACAAAATGTAGTACAGTGAATAATGACATTGAGAGTTAAAAACTAGTTCTGAAATAATATTTGAGCAGGAACTCCAAGTTACTTACTCTTCACAGTGGGTTTCCTAGGATCATAGGAAACAGTGCTGCTGACCACTGGTGCCAAGTGGGCACTGCTGGTGCTTGGGCCATCATAGGCCGGCTCCTCAGGGCTGGGGTTAAAGCTGTTGCTACTGGCGGAAGCATGGCTGCTTCCCGTGGGGTACGGGGCTGGCTTAATCCTGCAACACAGGACAACACTGGTTAGTCATGAGCACAAGAAATCTGCCCTGAGCATGAAGAGCCTGAAACTGGCCTGTGTGAGGATGACTTACCCTGTTTGTGGCTTTGCTAAGTGGACCCTAGCACCCTGGATTCTGGTGGTGGCTCAGAGGTGTCTGCATTATCCTTTCAGAATAAATGATAATCTCAACTAACTTTTCACTGTTTTGGTATAAATCTGTATTTTGAAAATGCTAATGTGGCTTAGACAAAATAACAGTCATTGCAGAAATGTGTTTTTTGTTTAGATGAGAAAAAGGAAAGCATAAGGGAATGTTTCCCATAAGCCAGGCTTTGCTCTCCATTTAATCTTGACTACCCTAGGGCAGGAGAAATTATCACCTTGCACTGCAGTCCAAGAAGCAGAGGCTGAGGGAGGTGAGGGAAGTGCTGAGCTGATGAGGTCTGCCTCCAGAGTCCACCGTCTGCACTGCCTTGCTTTCACCAAAAGCAATTTGCTTCCTGCCGCTATGGCTACCTCTTAAGGGTTGATAGCACACAAAAGCCAGGTAAGAACACAGTTCTTACTTGATTTTCTCAGGGACAGCTGCTCCTCCAGTTCCAAACTTTTCCTGCCTCCTCCGGACGTCACGAGGTGGCTTGGCCACAGAGTTGACAAAGGCCATCTTTGCTTGTCGGCCTGTGGAATTATGGAGATGAACATCTGCCTTCTTGAGCAGAGACGCTACTGTTATTTAAATAATCCAAGTGGTTTTCAACTGCCCTGAAACCCCACTATAGGGTAGCATGGGCTGTGGCAGAAGAAATACCCACCCTGCTACCTGATGTAGGGGCGAGCAGTCCCACATCAGCCAAGCCCACCAAGACCCTGCTATTGACCAGAACACTCATCCTGCCAGTTCTACCCCAGCTCTCCCGTCTGTTACCTTTGGGCTTATTGGCATGTGCGAATTGGATGTTCTTTGTTAGTACTCGTAGCCGCTGCTCTCGGGCATCCTGAAGCCGCAGGTACATCTCTCGCCACGACTCATATTCTTCGGGTCTTTCTTCCTTAAAGTCTCGGTGACAGTGAACTTTCCATAATTGATCTGTTTCTTCAATTAATACCTGAAACCAGAACCAGGACATCATTTATGTACAAGCACTTTTATGTACAAGCACTATCTTTTTTTTTTTTTTTGAGACAGAGCCTTGCTCTGTCACGTAGACTGGAGTGCAGTGGTGCAGTTTCGGCTCACTGCAACCCCTGCCTCCTGGGTTCAAGCGATTCTTGTGCCTCAGCCTCCCAAGTAGCCAGGACTACAGGTGCTTACCACTATGCCCAGCTAATTTTTTATATTTTTAGTAGAGACGGGGTATCGCCATGTCAGCCAGGCTGGCCTTGAACTCCTGACCTCAAGTGATCCACCCACCTTAGCTTCCCAAAGTGCTGGGATTACAAGCGTGTGTCACCACGCCCGGCCCCATATCTTTTTCTGATTCTTTAATTACCTAGGAGTGACCAGTTTCCTAATAATTTTTTGGTCTTTGTCGTAGTAGTATGTTAAAATACCACAATTCTAGGAAAAAATAACTCACTAAATTTTAAAAATGCTAAGTGTGAGGCACTATGCTAGCTGCTTTTGGTGGCTGTGACAGGATATCACAAAAATTAGTGTAAGATCAGTCTTTTCCTTTAGAAAATCAGCAAAGGGTAGAACTGTGATCAAGTCCAATCAGGTACTTCCCAACACTACGCTGAACTGTGATGGCAGGGGGCAACCTAAGAAGGATGTTAAGTTATTGGCCAGACGCAGTGGCTCATGCCTGTAATCCCAGCACTTCGGGAGGCCAAGATGGGACATCACTTGAGGCCAAGAGTCTAAGAGTCCGTCTCTCCAAAAAATAAAAATATTAGTCAGGTGTGGTGGTATGTGCCTGTAGTCCCAGCTACTTGGGAGGATCACTTAAGCCCAGGAGTTCAAGGATGCAGTGAGCCATGATTAGGCTACTGTACTGCAGAGTCTAAGCAACAGAGGTAGACCCTGTCTCAAAAAAAAAAAAAAAAAAGATGTTAGGTCAGAGAACTCTCAGAATTAAAGAGAGATAGCTGATGCAATCAAATGTGTATACCTATATCCTAAGGAGGATTTCTGGATAGATCTTGATGTCTCTTAAGAGACATCCAGTCAATCACCAGATGTCAGTGTCAACACAAAGTGCTTTACCCACCCTGGGTCCCAGCTGCTCTGCTGCCAGAATTCTCCCTTGACCTTCATGACTAGGCAAGCTCAAGGGAGGTGTTAAAAGTGCTTTTCTTCTCCCTTTGAATCCCACCATGATCCTAACCAAAGAGGCCCACTTAAGGTGCCAGGAGCAAGTGCTAATAACATGCTTGTTTAAAGGCCCACAACAATGCTCTGACCACTGATCTGCCCTTCAGCCACAGCAGAGTCACAGGGACAAAGCTATTTCCGGAGGTAAAAGCCAGAAAACTGCCCTCTTCCCACCCAAACAGAATACTCACATGATTGTATTCCTCTATGCGATACAGCTGATCAGGTGTACACCTCTCCAAAACGGGTTCAAGAACAGAATATGGGACTCCTCCCACTTCAAAGATTGCTGCAGAGAAATCAAAGGTGAAAGCACTGAGTAGCAGCCAAGCCACCCAGTGATAAGGTCCAAGTGCAATGTGCATGAGAGCTAGAGAGACGCATGTGACTCACAATCGATGTTGTTTTTAAGTACTCGGATGCATTGCTGGTGCAAGGTCATCATTTTAGGGAGATAGGCACACTTGGAACCAGAATACACCTGCATCTTGGAATTCATTCTGCGCCCAGTAAATCCAGCTTCTTCTTCTTCCTGGGGTGAAGAGAATGCTATAGGGCAAGAAAAACACAAAAGGGAATTACAAAAGGCCCTAAGTGATCCAGTGAAAACTCTCCTTCTACCCCCCTCAGCCTCCCACTTCCCTTTCCCAATGGCAATCCACACTATTTTTTTTTTCTCTTGTAGAGACAGCATCTTGCTGTATTGACCAGGGTGGTTTAGAACTTTTTTTTTTGGAAATAGAGTTTCGCTCTTGTTACCCAGATTTGAGTGCAATGGCACAATCTCAGCCCACTGAAACCTCCGCCTCCTAGGTTCAAGCGATTCGCCTGCCTCAGCTTCCTGAGTAGCTGGGATCACAGGCACGCGCTACCATGCCTGGCTAATTTTTGTATTTTTAGTAGAGACAGGGTTTCACCATGTTGGCCGGGCTGGTCTCGAACTTCTTACCTAAGGGGACCCACCTGCCTCGGCCTCTGAAAGTGCTGGGATTACAGGAGTGAGCCACCACGCCCGGTCGGTTTAGAACTCTTCGCCACAAGCAATCCTCCTGCCTCGCCCTCCCAAAGTGCTGGAATTATAGGTTTGAGCCACTGCACCCTACCTTGAATGAATTTTAAAATCTTTTTCCCATTAAGAAAAAGAAGATATAGAAAATTACCTTTTCGCTTTGGCTGGAAGGAGGATATCAGCTCGAGGGAAGGCAGTGGACGGTAATTGGCCTGTATTGCGGGTAACGGGAGGTCTGGCAACACCGGCAACACATCGGGCACCTGCGGGGGACAGACCCATGGGTGGAGAGTCAGTAAGTATGAGCACAGCTCTCTTTCCTACACTCTATTCCCAGGAGCATTGACTGGACACCTTGCGCAGGAAGATCCAGGCTGGAGGGGGCCACAGTCATGCCTGACACCACCTCAGTCAGGAAATAAATACAGATGGGCCCATCACAAGAGAATAATGCAGAAAATTCTTATTTGGGGTACAATGTACCCTGACAACCAGTAAAGCCCAGAGGAAATTACCACAAGCTGAAATTCAACAGGCCCCCTAAAAGCAAGCTAAGGAAAACAGTGGCAGGGCAATCCTCTGAGCTCTGCAGGGCCAGGTGCTCTGGGTGGGAAGCCACCAAGGGGCTGAAGGGGTTACCTTTCTCAGCTTGGCTGAATCAGCTCCAGCCGGCTGCAGCTTCTCTGACTTGGTTTTGTTCACCTTGGGTAATTTCTGAACTGAGTCCAAGTTTTTACTAGTGCTTTTAGAGTCATTTTTTTTTAGTCCTTTATCTCCAAGTGCTGTGGCTGAAGTTTTCACAATCTTTTTCTTTTTCTTCCGGGGCTGATCATAGCTGAGGTAGGATTCGAAAGACATGGTTGGCTGCTCGAATTCATCCTCCATATCTGTCTCCTCAACTTTAGGGAGGGAGCCCAGTGACTTTCTGTCCGAATTAGTTTTGACTTTCCCTTCTGGAGTCTTTAGGTTGTTAGAACCCTTCTCTTTTACCTTGGGCAACAGGTCTCCTGCTCCTTTTCCCGTGTCGAAGCTGTCCAGACCTTGCTTGCTTTTGTCCAATTTGGCTTTCTCCGGGTCTCTGTGCTTTGGCTTTTTCAGGTGGTTGTCTGAAGCAGCCTCTGAGGGAGGCAAACACTTCTTCTTCAGGCTGCTGCCCTCTCTGTCCTTCTCTTTCTTTACGCCACTAGAGGGCGGTTTCTCCCTTGCACTGTCCCCTGAGGGTGGCCTTCGGTTCTCCTCTTTGGAGAGGGCCTTGTGTGATTTCTCTCTGCTCACCACAGAAGCCTTCTCATCACTCTTGGCATCCACGGGGCGTTTGTCCCTGTGGGAAGATTTGTGCTCCTTGTTTTGACTCACAACCCCTTTCCCATGGGGTTCACCCAGGTGTCGTTCTTGGCTGGCCCCCAGTCTGTCCTGAAAGGCATTGCTGTGGCCTTTCCCAGGCTTCTGGTGTGAAACAATGGGCTCCTGGTCCTCCTCCAGGGATCTGTAGTGGTCGATGTACATCTGATGAGGACTGGTACAAGATGGAGGGGATTGAACGTGGCCGTAATCAGAAGACTCAGGGTCTGAAGAGTAAGTTGGTGACATTCTGTGACACCTCTTTCTCTCGTCTCTCCTCTCATGACCGTGGGACACTTTGTGAGGTCTCTCAAGCTCTGAGAGTTTCCTATGTTTCTTCTGCCTGTGGTCAGGGCTATAGGATCGGCTCCCTGTGGCTTTCCAGGTTTCTTGGTAGTCCCCCTCCATCTCCTCCTCCTTCTGCAGGGCATCCCGAGGGCGCTTTCGGGAACTGCTCTTCTCAAAGTCCTGTTCATCAGACTCAGCATTTCTAAAATAAAACAAAAAGCAGACAAAGGAGGTCTAAATCTTGCTTGTTGAGGGACAAAGTCACAGAACCTGAACTCACCAAAGAAGTGAAGATGCAGAGTTAGAAACAACAAGGTCTTAAGAAGAAGGTAAGTGGGTTATGCTTAGATACTCAAGTCTTAAAACCGGGAAAACCCAAATGAGAAATGATGAGTTTAACTACAAGATGCAAAGATCAAATATCTCACATACATGAAAATGAAGATTTTTTAAAACATGGGGACATGTTTGTTATATAAAATGGGGGCTGCTCATTATTTATCTAGTTCACAACTAAAAAAAAATGCCATTTAAGGAGCGGTTAGAAAGAAACATACCAAAATGTTCATAACGTTTGTCTTTGCATGATAGAAATAGGAAATTTTGATTTCTGTTTTTAATATTTTCTAATATTCTACAATGATCATGGATTATTTTTATAATTGAGGCAAAACAGTTTTAGAAGGCAAAAGAGAAATAATAAAGAAAACCTTTTCTATCTGTAAATACTTCAGGTAACCCAATTTAACCATGAAATTGAACGAACCTAAAGAGAAATGTTCTTACCGTTCCACAGGAACCAGCTTCTTCCACTGGGCCACTAGGTCCCTGGCAAAGCTTCCAACATGTTCGTGCTTTCGCAAGCTATTTACTGTTTTCCCAACCCCAGTCTCCTAAAATTTGACAAAGTAATTGTTAGAGGGGTCTGGAACTAGGCTAACGTTTTCCTAAAGAAATAAGGCCTCCTGCTTTGAGAAACTCAACAAGCAACACTTCCTTCCTAAAACATAACCCTGCAAATCTTAACACTAAATTACTTTGTGCCTATGCCCCAAATCTCTAATGACACACAGTAGCAACGCGTACCAAGTTCAGAGAAGGAAAAAACACTTGTAGAACTTTAATGATAACAACAGTGATTAGGGCAGGTGTTAGGCACTAAGATAAGAGCTTTGCTTTGCATACAGTTCTGAATCAGTCTTTACAATAACTCCGTGAGGCAGGAATCAGACCCATTTTACATAGGAGCAGCCTAAAGTCACAGAACTCAGATGTGAATCTGGGACTAGTAGATGCCAAAGTCAATGTTCTTTTAATTCTAATTTTGAAATAAAGTCACATAACAATATTCACCATTTTAACTAAAGTACATAATTCAGTGGTTTCCAGAACATTCACAATATTGTATAACCATTATAACCATCTAATTCCAGAACATTTACATTACCCTAAAAAGAAATCCTGTTCCTCCCAATTCTTCTAGCCCCTGGCAACCACTAATCTACTTTCTGTCTATGGATGTGCCTGTTCTGGACATTTCATATAAATGGAATCAGACAATATGTGGCCTTTTGTGTCTGGTTTCTTTCACTTCCAAAGCTCATACTTGTAACCTTACTCTACACACTCTCCAGTGAGAAGGGAATGGGATATCATTATATAATATTTAAAGTCACACAGTTCTTACCGCAAGAATATCTACTGTAATAGGCAGGGTGGAGAGTTTCTTCAAATATTTCAATAGCTGCAAAGAAGAAAACATTAATTTCAATAGTCATTCACTTTAAGAATATCTGATTATTAAGTGCTTAGTACTAACCATTTACAGTAATGAGTATAAGTATTGTCTCTATTTATAGTAATAAGTAATATCCCTATTTTACAAGTGTGAAAATAGGCTCATCAAAGTTATGTTTCTTGTCCCAAGATGCAAGTGGGGCAAGATTCACTTAGGTCTGTGGCTTTAGATTCCCTGCTTTCAACCACTGTGCTACACCAAGGGGAAATAAGATGTAGAGAAGAGAATCAAAACTTACCAACTCTGATAAAAGCCATCAACAACTATCATTTTTGCCCTAGTTTTGATAGAATTTATGAGAAAGGTACCAGTTTTAGGAGAATTACCCACGGACGTGGCACAGAGGAAGTAAAAGGAAGAAAAGGCCTCTACAGGAAAAGACCATCATGTTTCCAGAAGGGCCACAGTGTTTAACAGAATTGTTTTCTTCTATATAAGTGTAAAGCCAAGAACCATTTTGAATTGCCAGAATCACAGCTTTGATGTTAACGGTGGACACAAAATGCCTGGGTAGATTAGAAAAGTGATCTGGGTTTGACCACATTTCCTTCCTATAGTCCCTAAAACTAGGTCAAAATCAAAATAGCAGAGCTGTTAAGATGGAGTTCTGGAGTCAGAGACAGGCTTCACAGTCTGGCTTTGTCACTCCTTGATGGGAGATCTTGAATAAGTCAAAAACATCCCCAAACTTCAGTTACTTCATCTGCAAAACAGGAACTTGGTCCTGTCTCTACTTCACAAACTATGAGGATTCATTGAGACAAACCATGAGACAAACCATGTGCAGTCCTTAGTCATAGTGTCTAGAACAGTATGAAAGCTCACTAAATACTTATTTCATTCATCGACTGACAGCTTTCAACGTTCTGCCCTAGATCTTCAACCAGATATTCCTCAGCCAATTCCTACTTGCTCTATTTCTAACAAAAGTCATGACTGGCCACACCTTTCTCTAGGAAATGTCTATGTGTATCTAAACATACTCACCATACAAGGAGTGCTTCAAAGTACAAGTAGTTTAAAATAGATAACTGTGGTTACCTTTACATTTAAATACTATATAACAAGATCTGTTCTTTTACCATGTGTGGCCCAGGCTATAATTGGTATGCCATATTGCTATTAGGTGGAGTAACAAGTCTGTTTTTCTGGTCATTCTGCTTCAATCATTACACCAGACAGAGCAATTGGATCACAAGTGATAATCTTGTTTGAGATCAAGTAAGAGGCCAAGTGGCATATCTAGGGAGTTTCACCTTCATAGTTGAGTGAAAATTATCCTCCACTTCAAATCCTATCACCACAAACATCCAACTCAGGAAAAATTTTGTGTTTCTTGCCACCCAAGCTATGGGTGCAAAGACTAATAATGCCAATTCCTTCACTTAAAGGAAAATTTTAAATCACTGAGAAGGTCAAAAACAAGTGGTTCTCTCATAATGCCATTCCTTGGAAGGAGTAGGTTGGGAACATTCACATACCATCTACTGTGTGTCAGCTACGTTCTTACATGTATTACCTCATTTCATCCCCACTAACCAACTCTATAAAGTGGATGTTATTCTCCCCATTTTCAGATATTGCAACTGAGCCCAATCAGGTTAGGTAACTTGCTTAACAAGATGGAAAGTCAAATGTGTCTACTACAGTAAGTAAAGCCAGGAGAAGCATCCAACATCAGAACACTGTCCTTAGGAAAAGAAAATAGAGCGGCAGCTCATATACTTCTTAGCATACTTGCAAGAAAGCAGAAAAACTCCTCCTGTGATGTCATTAGACAGTTCATAA